GTTCAAGAAGAGAAGATCCATTTATTATGTTTGGTTGTTATGTCTCTTCATTCTCCCTTTTTTTTTTTTAAGATTTTATTTATTTGAGAGAGAGACAAAAAGCACGAGCAGGGGAAGAGGCAGAGGGAGAGGGAGAAGCGGATTCTCTGCAGAGCAGGGAGCCCAAGGTGGGGCTCGAACCCAGGACCCTGGGACCATGACCTGAGCCGAAGGCAGACGCTTAACTGACTGAGCCACCCAGGTGCCCCTCTTCATTCTCTTTTAATCTTGAATACTCCTACCTCCATCTTTATCTCCCACTGCTAACTGGCAGAAATTGGATCAGTAGTGTAAAATGACCTACTTTCTGGATTTGTCTCTTTGGCTCTTTGTGGTCTCATGGAAGTCGTTTTGCTTGTTCCCCGGTTTCTCCCTCATCCCTGTAAATGAAAGTTGGCTCCAGGGACACAGTTGGCGTCCGGGGCAGGAACACCTCCAGGGTAGTGCAGGTTGCCTTTTGCAACACTTCAGGAAACACATGACGTCCTACTTTCTGTGGCTCTCAGATGGATCATTGTTCAGGTAGCGCAGCCTGATCCCCCCACGGTCAAGTCCCCCATCAGTCTCTCATCTAATGAGTTCATCCATTGGTGATCAATGTCCGAATCAATTATTTCCCTAGAAGTTACAAAATGATGATTCTCTCATTCTCTCCTTCCTTGCACATGTGTCAGGCTGCGTTCTTCTGCCTCTTGTTAAGAAGCCAGAGAACCCCTCTTATCCACAAGTCTTGCTCTGAATGACTTGTGGCTGTTTCTAAAACTCACATTCACACCTACAAGATCTCATTTCTCAAATGTGGAAAAAATTCCGAAAACTTGGCCTTCAACTCAGAAAGCAAGTCTGAGAGGGGAATTCTAAAAATTATTTTCCCAAGGTGGCATTGCTAGTATAATTACATGGCTGTCCAAGGTACCTGATCATTTGGGTTTATAGCTTCTGAAAGTTCTGCTGAAATCAGAAATCAATCACATTGTTTACCAGCACACCCACACTCACACCTACCCCTCCACACCCACGGATATTGCAAAACTAGATCAAGAATTAAATCCTAATGCAGGATTTCCTGTGTGCAATATTCTTTCAGAAACCTATGTTCCTGGTTCCTGCCCTGGAGCACCCACTTTGAGAGAGGTGGTGACATAACCACCTGCTAAGAGTTCTGGGAAGATGTTGGTCGGGAACAAGACACCCCCTGAGGTTCAAAAAGGAACCTAAGAACGAGGCTTTGAGGAAATTCATATTTCCTCTTGCTCATAACCTTTCCTAGGTTTGTCAGAGAACGTTCTCGGGTCTTCCTTTCGTACCTGCTCTCACATGGATGAGAGTAATTGTCCAAGGATCACCTTTGGCTGAAAGGAAACAGATTTCAGAATGTCCCTGCTGTGGTTGGCCTCACTTCTGTTTGTCTACTTGACACTTCTTTGCTCATCTCTCAAGCTGCTTGTTTGGGATTAGCCCAACTGAAGGGAAAGTGTCATTTTATTTTTACTTGGGTTTAAAAAAATCAATCTCCAAAACAAATCAATTCCAAAACCAATAAAATCAGAGATTGTGAGAGCTGGAAAGGGATGCGGGGACATCTAGGCCATCGGACTCAGAACTTTTGAGCTAAAAGGCATCTTAAAGAGTTTGAAATTAATTCTCGGTTTATAGCTGTGGGACACTGAGGCCCAGAGGCTTGGAGCGACTTGCCCAGGATCCCATAGCAAAGTTGAAACCTGAAACCAGGTCTCCCCACTAGATGGTGAGGTCCCCTTTCCCACATCTCACACGTGAGGAGAAAGGGGTCTGGAGGGGATCATGTCATTTGTCCAAGGTCAAAGAGTTAGGGAGGCACTAGGAGCCTGCTCTCTGCCAGGTACTGTGCTAGGCATGTAATTACACCATACTGCTTCCGGAATGAGTAAATGTGTCCTTAGTACCATTCTTCATGTGCCATGCAGCTGTTTCCCACAGAGAAGCTCATTAGATGTAAATATTCAGCATTTTGTCATTGCAGCTTATTTATCTTCTAATGGGTAAAATGCACTCGCTGTGCTTTTTAAGGAAAATTTTGCCTCTATAAAAATATCCTCCAGATGAAACAATAATCCTAGATTCTCCAAAGTATGCCATTTCCTTCCTGGGGTTAGTAGGAGTGTGGAACTGGGAGTCTAGAGGCCTAAGTTCTAGACCTGGCCCTTTGCCCCCAGCCGAGTGACCTTGGCCAAAGTCCCCAGATGCCTCCTATGTAAAGCAAGGAGGTTGGATTAGTTTAGTGGTTCCCAACTCTGTTTACACCAAAAGCCTCTGCTTAGAAAGATTCCTTCAAACTCTGTGCTCTTGATGAATGAGTAAGTTGTCTCTCCACTTTGTAAAAGTTACTCTTAGATCCATAACTATAATAGCTTTTGGTCAGAATAATATACCATAAGAAGGAGAGATGACTCCAGCCCCTAATAATGCATGTTAACATTTAGTCTGCATGGTTTTGTCATTGGTAAATGGATGATTTCTTTCAGGCTCTCAGAATATTGAGAGCAGTTCTGAGATCTCCATTCCTACCTTGATGGAACATTGCTAACCCATTCCAAGAAGTCTTGCAATCCACTTGGCTAAAAGCTTTAGACAATCCTCTGGTTCTAAAATTCTTAAGGGGGTAAATCCTACCACCTTCCTCAGGGGTAAATATTTGAAGTTTTATCTACTGGTCGATACAAAAGCTTGTTTTTAAGAATGTGGCTGGCAACCATAATACTTCAAACTGGGAGACTGGCTTAGTCTACATTCTTTTTTTTTTTTTTAATTTTATTTATTTATTTGACAGAGAGAGAGCAAGAGAGGGAACACAAGCAGGGGGGAGTGGGAGAGGGAGAAGCAGGCCTCCCACAGAGCAGGGAGCCTGATGCGGGGCTCGGTCCTAGGACCCTGGGACCATGACCTGAGCGAAGGCAGCCACTTAATGACTAAGCCACCCAGACGCCCCCTTAGTCTACATTCCTTTTGACTGAAGGCAAGCCCTGAAACAAGGATTTAGGGTCATGCCACTTATTTGGGAGGTGATGTGAGAAGGGGAAAGGGGGACAGGGCGGGGAAAGGAAGCCAGGTAAGGGGTACCAGTGAGTGGACTGGTGCTGTGCACAACTAAAGTCAGTCCCATGGAGAGGCAAGAAAGTGGGGATCCTCCCCACCAACTCCCACCCCCTGCTGGTTGGGGACTTCTCCTTGGAGTGAATTCCCTGGCAATTTTGACTCCTCCCAAGAGCGCGCAGTCGGAGACCCAGGATGCATCTGCTTTGGGGGAACTATCTGTTGATGACCTCTAGGGTAATGGAGGGGATGCCAGTGGGACACCAAGAGCTTTTCTGCAGACACTAAACCAAAAGCATCTCACTGTTGAAAGTCATAACAAATCACCATCCATTCATTCAACAAGTATTGGTTGTCAGGCACTGTTCTAGGTGCTTGGACACATCTGTGAACAAAAGGGACATGGAGTCCAATAGGAGAAAGAAACACATAATATATGCAAGAGATACACGAATTACACATAGTGTGACAGAATAATATTCACAATAAATGTGTAAACTGTACAGTGTTGGAGGAGGGTAGAGGGGACTGGGGGTGCCAAGTTCTGTGAGGAAAGGTTACAGTTTTAAATGGGGAGATGGGGGGAGCCTCTTGAGAAAAGATTTAAAGGAGGTGATAGGAGGAGCCATGGAGAAATATGGCGGGAGAGAACTCAAGGCCAAGAGAACAAACTCCTCGAGGTGGGAATATGAGCGGGTCTGATGCATTCCTGGAGTAGTGAGTAGTGCCTGGAGCAGAGAGAATAGGAGAGAATGTAGGAGGACATGAGGTCAGAGGTCAGAGGTGGTAGAGGTCAGAACGTGGCTTTGGCTTTTATTGCGAGGCCAACAAGAGACATTTCTGAGAGAAAGAGGGACAGACAGGATCTGCTTGCATTCTGACGGGATCACTCTGACTAGTGAGTGTGTGGAGAACAAGTGGCGTGTATCAGTTCCTTGTACCACAGAACAAATAGCCACAAAACCACTCTCTTACCAACAGCTTAAAACAATGTAAGTTTATTGTGTCAGTTTCCTGGGTCAGTAGTCCAGGTATGGGTCAGCTGGGTCTTCTGCTTAGGGTCCCACCAGGCTGAAAGCAAGGTGTCCTTCAGGGTTATGATCTCATCGGAAGCTCTGGGTCCTCTCCCAGGCTCACTGGTTGTTGGCAGAGTCCGTATCCTTGTGGTCACAGAACCAAGATCCCATTTTCCTGCCAGTTGTGGGCTGGCAAAGACTCTTGGCCTGGAGGCCGCTCTCAAGTCCTCACCATGTGAGTCCTTCCACAGACAGTTAGCAGACACGGCTGTTTGCTCCTTCAAGGTCAGAAGGGGAATCTCCCTTACACTTCAAATCTATTCCTTTGGGAAGGACTCAGTCCCTCTAAAGAGCTATTAGGTAAGGACCAACCAAGATATCCTTGAACATCAACAGGCATGCCATCCACCGTATCTTCACGTCCTGCTCACACTCAGGAGGGGAGTACACAGGGCCATCTTAGGATCTGCACACCACAGGGGACAAAGACAGAAGCTGACAGTTCTGTTGGGAGGCTGTCATCAGCATCCAGGCAAGGGCAGATGGTGGCTTAAACACTGATTATAACAGTAGAGAGGATGAGAAGGTTTCAGAGTCTGGAGGTGTTTGGAGAGGGTTTCCTGTCAGGTTGACTGTTAGGGATGAAGGAAAAGAGAGGAGGCAAGGATGATGCCAAGGGTTTTAACCCGAGCTGAAGGTGGGAGTTGCCATCTGCTGGTGATAAAATCACCATCCAAGGGAGTCACGCCACTCCATGCCACATGCATGGTGTAAACCCCTAAGAAGCCAAAGGGAAAGTAAAGGTCAAGGCCAAGGAAGCCTGGGGCGGGGGGGGGGGGGGGGGATGGGGACACAGTTTAAATAGGTCTGGAAATTACTGTGGTGTTAGATAGGTGACGGGGAAGAGGGTGTTCCCCAGGGAGCTGAGGAGGGCAGAGGGATGGGGAGGGGCAGGGAGGCACTAGCGGCATTCTGAGGGGCATGAGTAGATCAGCAGGCTAGAATGGAGGGTCGTGTGGATGAGCAGTGTGGGAAGGTAGGCAGGGGTGAACCTTGGAGGAAGTTCAGCCTCAAGGTAAGGCCATGATCCTACACGACAAAGAAATTTAGTTTGAGAGAAGTATATTCACAAGAGATGATGTAACGACACTCGGCAGACATTTACTGTGGAGCCACTGCATGAGTTTGCCACAGATTGGTGGCTTCAACAACCAAAATGGATTTCCTCACAGTTCAGGACCCTAGAAGTCCGAGATCAAGCTTATGAGCAGGCCTGGCTTCTTCTGAGGCCTCTCTTCTCAGCTTGTAGATGGCGAATTCTTCCGGTGTCTCCAGTCTTCCCTCCCTGTGAGTCCGTGTCTTTATCTCCACTACTTCTAAGGACACCAGCCACACTGGATTAGGAGCCACCCTGATGTCCTCGTTTTATCTTAATCATCTCTCTCAGACCCACCCGGTCTCCAAATACAGTCACCTTCTGAGGTGTTGGGGGTTAAAACTTCGACATACGGATTCTGAGGGGACACCATTCAGCCCACAACACCTACTATGTTTATGTAATTGTGTTCGGCATTTTAGACACTGGAAAACCAACTACCCTTCTTTGTCTTCCCTTTCCTTGGCTGGAAACATTCCAGGAGGCCAGGGCTGGTGGGACAGGCTGTGCCAAGTTCACTGATGTTCATGGTGATCATTCTCTCTTCATCACTGAAAGCCACGGTGTTTGGCAAGAGCCGGTACGAAGTTCATGGAGAGCCCAAATGAACCGATGAGTCATGTGTTTCGTGAGCAAAAAACAAAAAACAAAAAACAAGAGTGACCCTTTGGGGATTTCCAATCCTCTGCCTAACTCATTCCCCAAAGCCACAGACCAACGTTCAAAAGGCAGGGGCCAGCAGAAACTGAGTCCTGCTCTCTTGATTACAAAAACCAACTTTGGGCTCGGGTATTTTATATCTGTAATGTGAGTCCACATTGAGTGGGAGCACAAATTAAAAATAGCCATTTTAGAAGCCATTTAGAAGGCAGATTCTGCTTACTCCGCAAGATAAATCACAAGAGCTGCCATTTTCCTAGTAATCACAAAATCAGACTTCAGTTATATTTTTTTCTAAACACAATTGTCTTCATTTGAGCTTCTCAGAGAGAGTGTGCCCCTCTGGGTTTTCACTCAACTTAGCAAGGGCAGCCGGCCGCATGCCCCTTACAGATGTTTACCCAATATTCCAGCATCACATTTTACGAGGCTGAAGTGGCTCCAATGTATTCAGGGTGCATATACTTAGCAGAAAAGTTCAGAAGCTGGCAACTCACATTTGCCCAAATTGATTCCACATCTGCCTTAAGTGAACCACTCTCTCTGATATAAGCATATTTGTTTGTTGTTGTTTTTTTTCCTCCCCTCACAAGTCAGTGTATGTGATTAGAGCTTGAAAATAAAGGGGCTGTTTTAGAAAAGAAGCAAAACAAGTTAAAGGTCAGCCTGGCGTTCAGAATACTGCTGCCAGTTACCGTTCCTTCTTTAAAGGAAACTGAGTTAACTTTGCTAAGTTATAAGGCATTTCAACCTTAGCTCATTTGCTCACACTGCACAATCCTTTAGTGTGAAAATCTTGTTATAGTAAAAGTCTCAACCAACAGAAAAATCAGGAAACCTCATCTATCCGGAACCACGCAGAAACAAAAAGTGAATACCAAAAAAATCCTCCGGGCAGCCAAAATGTCACAAAGCCCTTGCAATTCATCCATACCAGAGCCTCCAAATCCACATTAAAGGCTTTACTTTCAAAATTGATGCCAGATTCCAAAATTTTGGCTAACTGTTTTCCAATCTCACTGCGGCCTAGAAGCAACAAATCCGAGATGAAGCCAGAGCCTGCTCCTTACAGCTGTGAGGCAGGGCAGAGATAAGAAACACAGAAAGCCAGAAAGCTCACAAGCACAGCAGGTACACGCCTGACCCATCCTGGCAGCCCCTCAGGCACATCTGTACAATAAGTCCAAGTCATAAAGACTGGCTGAACTGTGTTGAACAGCCTTTATATAAGGTGGAAATGACATGTGAAACACATTTCGGAAAAGTAAAATTAAAATATAAAATCGAGGGGCGCAGGGTGGTTAAGCATAGGACTCTTGTTTTCGACTCAGGGCACGATCTCAGGGTCATGAGACAGAGCCCCGCATCAGGTTGCATGCTGAGTGTGGAGCCTGCTTAAGATTCTTCCTCTCCCTCCCTCTCCCTCTGCTCCTCCCTCTCTCTCTCTCTCTCTCTCTCAAAAACAAAAAACAAAAAATAAAACAAAACAAAAAAACTCATAACTCTTTAAAATATAAAATTGAGATGCCCTAGTCAAAACTCTTTTGGTTGCATTTGACAAAAACCCAATTTTAAATGCTGCAAAAAGGGAACTTACTGATAACAGTATTTATTAATCCAGACATATCCTTGCTTCACACACAAATGGATCCAGGAGGTGGAAACAACAGCATCAGGACCTGGCTTCTATCTCCTGTTGTTTCCTCCTCCAACGGTTTTAGTCTCAGACCAACTCTAACCCCCTGGTGGCAAGATGGCTGCCAACACCTCTAAATGTGGTGAAAAAGACACCCTCCTCCAGTCTGACCACACAAGCCAACAGGCAAGATTAACTCCAGCTAGACCTGATGAGCCTGGTTTGGGTCACATGCCCAGCCCAGATGCAATCCCAGGGGCCAGGAGTTTGCTCAGCCTTCTGATTGGCCAAACGTGGACCACGTGCCTACTCCTGAAGTGCAGGGTAAAGTCAGCTTCACCCAAAGCAGGGAGCTAGAATGGGTGAAATGAGCCAACGGGGAGTAGGGGTGGGGGGTGAGGTGAAGTGTTCCAGTGAGAGAGTGAGGTGCTGGGTAAAGGGAGCAGTTAACGTCTACCAGGGGAGGTAAAACCTATAACTGTCTAGGAGATCCAGCGTGCCTCTTCCTTGAGGCTCTGGGTGTAATACTTTTTCCATTCACAAATGATTGTGGCCTAGGACTTTCATATTTGGAAAAATGATCACAATGATATAAACTGATCATGACTCTACAGTTTTCAATTACACCACTGAATTTCTTTTTGTACCACTTCAGTTTGGTTTTTCTGTCACTTACAACCAAAAGGGTCTGGACAAAGCATCCTTTTTTTTTTTTTTTTTTTTTGCATTTTATTTTAATTACGTATGGTCACACAGAGAACCCCAGGAAGAGGAGAGGGCCGCAGAGTGTTCCCCAACTCCCGTGAGGAGTAGCGACCCCCTCCTTTCTCCCCAGGGGGTGTTCAGAGGATCAGGGTTTGGGAAACACCACTTAGCGGAGGAGCAAAAGGCACCCTGCTGCTTCCCATCAAGCTGGGAGAGCCTCAGGGAGGGTAAGCTAGCTGCCACTGCCCCGGAAGGCCTTCTCCAGGGAAGCCGACAGCCAAGTTCATGCCCCTCTTCAGGCGCATATTCCGTGGGATGCGCGGGCCGGCTCCCCAGGGGCTCCCCCACCATCTCACACACATGGGTAGCCAGTGAGCTGTGCATTTCCCTACCGACAGGCAGACTCAACTGCAGAAGGCCTCAGGCACCGAGCAGGAAAGGTCTGGGAGAGTGAACTCCCCTGTGCACGGAGTCCCGCCAGGGGCTAAGACCAGGGCGTTCTCATCGGTTCTCGGCATCAGAACAGAGAAGCCTCGGGCGGGCAGGGAGCTCTCAGCTTGCTGAGCACATCGGACTTGCCCACCGAGGAGTGGTGTGGACCTGAGAACATCAGATTTACCCTCCAGTTCAGTGCTTTTCAACCTACCCGGGGCGAAGCTCAGCTTCTGTTTCTGAGTACCAATCCATCGCGAACCTGTAAAATACAGTAAGATTACTTTCATCAAAAATTTTTTAAAAAGCAAAAAATACAAAATGCAAGCCCATTACTTTCAATCGGATTCAAAAGATTAAAAACTCGTCTGTCACACTGCCATTAACCTTTGTAAGTGCTTATTCTTTGTATCTGTACTTAACTCCCGTGGACAGAGAACAGGGTTGCCCTGCTCCGACCACCACGGTGATTAGCCCTGCTCTGGGGCGAGCTCCTGGCTTTGTTTTAACGTTTTCAGACCACTTCCTGCTTCTAATGCTTCACGTTTATCAATTAAGTAGAACTTACCAGCTTGACATTCCGGGTGTCCCCACACAGTCCGAATCTGCCATTCCCTTCATCCGGTCCTCCCTCATTCTTTCAACTGATCACTCAGTCCATCCAAACCCTAATGAGCGCCTGCTCTGGGCCAAGCCCAGGCCAGTGACACACAGGGCAGGCAAAGTCCATGGTTCGGTTGTCTCCCCACACACACCTGCACCCAGGCCCAACCAGCTTTCCAAGACGGGCTTAGTTTTGCTGAGTCCACACCTCTGTCACTCACTGCGTGTCTGAATCCCAGGCGTTCTTCATAGCTCTGTTGGAATGTCAGCTGCTCAGCCAGTGATAACAGCTCTCATTAATCTGGCCTCTGCTGGCCCAGGAATTTGCTGGGCACTTTATATACACTTTATATACTGAACAGCAGGGTTCTCTGCAAAGTTTCCTGATTCCACTTCTTATTCTTCGAAATCAGATTCAACTTCTTTTCCTTCTAGAGCCAATCTCTGCACCTTTAAAAAAAACCTTAAGTATGATGTACATTTAGAAAAGAATGTGAATTTATACAGCTCAGGGAAGTAGCCAAAAACTCGATACACCTATGGAACCTGCACCCAGATCAAAAAAATCAAACCTATCAGCACCGTGAAGATGGCCTGTATCACTTCCCGGTTACTACCCTCCCCCTTCCCAAGAGTAGCCACCGTCCTGACTTATAACTGTATGGCTTAATTTACCGTTTTTATTCATCTAAATGGAATCTAAAAGTATTATTGCAGCTGGCTTCGTTTATTCAGCACTATTTGTGGGATTCATTGTAGTGTTCATTCTCATTGCTGTATCGTATCCCATCATGCGAATATTTCACAGCTTATTTATCCATTGTACTATGGACGAGCATTTGGCTGCTGTGAACATTCTGGTACATGGCTAATGGTGAATCTACAAGTGCATTTCTGCTGCAACTTCATTTTAGTAAGAGCAATAACAAATCCTGTATCTTCCTCCCCTGGTCATCTCCCTTAATGTGGACATGACGGAACACAGTTCACTACAAGCGACTGTTGGAACTGATGCAACCAGATACACAATTCTCAAGAGATCTGACTAAACCCAAGAAAAACAATTAAGACTCAGTGTGGTCTAGGGAACTTTTGTGGTATCTGAGACCTTTTCAGGAGGTCTACATGATCAGAACTATTTTTATAATACCACTAAAGCTTCTTTTTTTTTGTTTCAGAGGTAGAATTCAGTGATTCATCAGTTGCATACAGCACCCAGTGCTCATGACATCACATGCCCTCCTTAATGCCCATCACCCAGTTACCCCATCCCCCCAACCCAGCTCCCCTCCAGCAATCCTCAGTTTGTCCCCTGTAGTTAAGAGTCTCTTATGGTTTGTCTCCGTTTTCATCTTGTTTTATTTCTCTCCTTCACCTATGTTCATCTGTTTTCTTAAATTCCACATGAGTGAAATCATATGGTATTTGGGTTTCTCAGACTTATTTCACTTAGCATAATACCTTTTATTTCCTACGTTTTATTTCCATCTATGTTGTTATAAGTGGCAAGATTTCATTCTTTTTGATGGCTGAGTAATATTCTGGTGTGTGTATCGACACACACACACATACACACACACACACACATCTTTATCCATTCATCTGTCGATGGACATCTGGACTCTTTCCACAGTTTGGCTATTGTGGATATTGCTGCTATAAACACTGGGGTGCATGTGCCCCTTTTAATCACTATGTTCCTATCCTTTGGATAAATACTTAGTAGTGCAGTTGCTGAGTCATACTGGTTCTATTTTTAACTTTCTGAGGAACCTCCAAACTGTTTTCCAGAGTGGCTGCACCAGTCTGCATTCCCACCAACAGTGTAGGAGGGTTCCCCTTGCCTTTTTTTTTTTAAAAGATGTATTTATTCATTTGAGAGAGGTGGGGAAGGGCAGAGAGAGAATCCCCAACCAGACTCCCTGAGCGCAGAGCCAGACACCAGGGCTCCATCCCAGGACCCTGAGATCATGACCTGAGCCGAAACTAAGAGCTGGTTGCTTAACCGACTGCACCACCCAAGCACCTCAGCTTTTTTGCCTTTTTTCCTCTCATCTTTTTTTTTTTAAAGATTTTATTTATTTATTCATGAGAGACAGAGGGGGAGAGAGAGAGAGAGAGAGAAGCAGAGGGAGAAGCAGGCTCCCAAGGAGCAGGGAGCCCGATGCGGGACTTGATCCCAGGACCCTGGGATCATGACCTGAGCCAAAGGCAGACGCTTAACCATCTGAGCCACCCAGGCGCCCTCCTCTCATCGTCTTATGAGTGTGCACAGAGGAATTTTCCAGAGGCCATGACATGTGATATAGCAACAGACTGAATGCAGAAACAGATATTAGAATCTAGCTGTGAAGAGAATCTATTATGCCAGACATTAAAGAAATTTGTAAATTATCTTTGATCTTGGAAAACAAATTTTTCACACAAAAATGTCATATTACTCGACATGGGTTTGTTACTGATCTTAATTAATAAACATTTTAAAATTTTGTTTTAATTTCTAATATAGTACCTACAGGTATAACCCACTTTGGGGTCCTCAAAAAATTTTAAGAGTGGTAAAAGAGTCCTGAGATCAAAAGCTGGGGAACCACTGATCGAGAGAAAGATTTCCCGAAAAGGATGTTGTTGGTCACTAGCCCAGAAGATAATCCACGAAAAATATTTTGTGATCAAATACATTTGAGAAATGGTAAGCCTCTCTTGGAAATCATCAAATTAGAAGCAAATAAGCCAAGTTTGCTTTAACTCTGTGTTTCCTAATTGTATCTGACCAAGATCCCCTCTTCCAAGGGCTTTCGTTATCATCCCGGAAGCACACTTGGGCACCTCATGGATGAACTCCAAGGCCTTCAGTCATTCCCAAGAGGAGCATCTCTTACAACCTGGCTTTTGTCAAGCGTGGGCAGCAGAGTCTGATGTGACACTTCTGACAGCATGAAGACTGATCCTTTTATAAATATCAAGGCAGCTGAGCAGGACAGAGAGTTCCTTTATCTCTACAAAGAGGTGTACCAAGGGCAGGGTCAAAGCCAAGACAAAGATCCCACTGAAGAGAGAAAACGGAGTCTGTTCCATCTGCCGAACAGGCAGTCGAGGTCCCAGAGTTCTTGACGACATCTTCCAGAGCAGATGGTACACGCGCTTGCCCCCGTCATAAAGAAATCTCAATAAAGTGCCCACGGAATGCCAGACTTTAAGTTACACAACTTCTTGGTGCCCCCTCCAAGGAAAATAGTGGCCAGATATACCCTGAATGAGTCAACTTCTTTTATTGGGTTACTAACCGTAAGTCAATTAAATGTTAGGGAATGTCTACCAAAAAATGATGCCTTTGGTTTTGGAACCATCAGTCTGAGTTCTTTTTGACAGTAATTACATAACTGTTGTCAGTTGTCTGGTAAGCAAATTCCCAGTTCACAATAATAAAATTATGTTATCAGGCAGCTCATCTAAAGAGAACCCATAGTAATGTGCAAGGCACTCTGGGAAATCTAAAAATGAAAAAGAGGTGTTTCTTCAAAAACATATAATCTAGTAAGGGGCCAGACAGAGCACCAGAGAAAGAAAGAAAGAATTTCCACACTCGTCTCTGCAGCAGCTGGTGAGGTAGCTGGTACTGCAACCAATAAATATCTGTCTCAACAAATCTGCTATTTACCTTTAAAATGTTTACTTGTACACAAACTGAGAAACACCACATAGCTGAGTATCTCGTCAAATATAATCTAGTCAAATACTGCTTCTTAGTGTGACTTAATGAGTTTATATAGGATTTCAAAAAAAACCTACACCATAGTGAATTAAAAATAGATCATTTTAATACACGTATTTTCACTTCTGTTAATTCAACGCTGATTTCTATTATGCATGCATAGCCACTTGGTTGAACTTGCTTCCTATTTACTTATTTTCCAACATGCAGCAACCTTCGACAAGATGGCTAAGCTGAACTGGTTATTCTTAAAGAGTACAATGTACCCTGTCAGAGTTTTATCAACTTTAATGTTTCCAAAGAGCCCAATGAGGCTGCTCCGCACGCTGGCTTTTCACTGAAATTTCCTATTTGGAGGATGGCAAGACAGACTAGGATCTTCCCAAGTCTCCTGGCCGCATGCATTCACATCACAGCTTGGTTGGGAAAGCAGTAGGGACGGAATAATAAGTAGATCCTCCTCCAAACACAGCTGGGTGAGAGAGTTTCATTTTTAGAAAGTAAAGCGAATCATGAAAACCTCCCTAATGGTGTGATTTGCTCCAGGGTTCTTTTGATACTTAAGAAGGGAAATATTAATCCTTGTGCACAGTACTCTTATTTTCAGCTTTATAGAGTTTTCTTCTCCAGCCATCCTTCTGTAGTGAGGCAATTTATTGTACTTGTGGCAGAATGGAAAGCACGAAGATGTCTTTCATAATCGAGGTGGTGATAGCCTTCTCATTTCCTGCCAAATGGATCAGACCACACTTTTAACCCTATAGAAAGAAACATGAATCAAAACAGGATTCGCTTTTTAAACTTCCTACCACTTCCCTCAACTGCAAACAAGCAAAATGACATCAGAATTGAGTTGTGCAATTTCCAGGTAGTTCGAGACAGTGCGGGCAAGCTGCCAGAAGTCTGAGATGCTACAGCTGGGCAGCCATGGCCACCATGAGAGACTTAAATGGCTCAGAAATTGCCCCACAACAGGAAGCTATGTATCTGGCCTAGTCAAAACATTAATTAATTAATTAATTAATTAATTAATTAAAAAAAGAATGGTGCCATAGATTACAAGAGTTTTGGTTAAAAAACTGGAAACCTCTCCTTCTCACCCAACTGGGATCATCTAAAAGTAACTAACCATTCAGCCACAAAGGGAACTTTTGAGCTTCTGTAATAAAGCAGAATCCCGCATCAATTAAAATAGCTCACAAGTAAACAGCCTTTTTCCTAAGAGGGCAGGGTTTAAATAGGTGCTTGGTAAATCGGTCTGCAGAACAGCTATGCACCCTTGATATTCAATCGCACACTTGTTATATTTTTATGCCGATTTTATCAAATGCACAAGAGGAACGTGCAAACTTGCCCAAAATATTCTGGGGTGAAATGTTAAAATGAAGTCTTGGGGTGGCTCCTATGAAATGGCAACTTCTGAATGATGAATGGCACAATCACCAGCTAGCCTCCACACTCAAAAGATTTCTTCCACTGCAGGGCAAGCACGCGCACCCCACACAACAGCACAAATGCAATTCTGTTTTGAATTTTAAAAGTTCACCTGGTGGCTGCACATCTTCTTGAATAATACCAGCTCGATTTACGGCTTGCTCCTTCTCTGAAAAACACAACAGAAAAATTGCTCTTTACAAAGGTGGGGGGTGGGCCGTGGTGGAAGAAATCTTTTCTCTTTACGTGGGCCAATGACATGGGACAATTCGGAAACAATATATACAGGACGCCAATATTCAAAGCTTTTAGGTTATGGAAGTTAGATCCTACAGAGCAAAAAAGATTGGGCATTTTCAATAAAACCAAAGAAAGCTGTACTTCAAAAGAAAAGCTCCCGACTCACATCTTTTCTCGGTGATCTCAGCATTTTGGAAAGGCAACAAAACAACGGAAAAAGAACAATTTTGAAAGAGCTGGTGGGTGTGATATTATGAGGGGAAGGCTGCTGAATTGAAGGAACAAGTACAATTAACAAGAAAACGATGTAGTTTCTATGTCTCAAATGTGCCCCGCTGAAGGACTAGACCCAGAGCTAAATATGCTATGTTTTTGATAGGAAATAGAGCAGAAAATTAATCTTTGGGTGGGTGGCTTTGGTTTGGATAATTGAAGCTTCCCTAATTGATTGCAGGTGCTGTGCCAATTAGTAAGCGCGTTCCAACTACAGCAGCTCGGCCCATCTCTTTGGAGATGTCCAACAGGCAAGGGCCAAGGGAAATTGGGCATTTTATGTCTGTGGGCTTCAAGCGTTCTGACACATCTTTCTAAGTGGTTTAGAATAAGCCCAAGGTCTGTGAAAACAAAGACTTATTATTTTAAGTATCTTGACAAACAAATGGCGGCTTTTCGGGGGAAAGACTTGGAGCCAAAGGATGTTTACTACTAAATTATAGTAATTAAAGGTTGTAATCAGACCTTTGTCTTAATCAGGCTGACAGTGTTTCTTGAAATCCACATTTAGCTCTTACTTAATATTAGGCCATTTCCTTTATTCTGGCCTCTGGATTCTCATAAAGTTACAAGAAGCATAAAGATACAAGAAACAGAGATTTGCCAAATTGAATATTCATTGAACTTGCTTCTCCCGTGATGTGACAGAAAGTCAATCCTAAGTGACCTACCTGATAGTTTTATCGATGCTAAGTTTTGCTTTGGCAAATAAAACACTGGGCAATAGGGATTATGTGAATCTTGATATCTAATTCTAAGACAGAGGGAAGACATAGCATAATGAAGCCCATTACAGACAATGGCCTGATGGTTTCCCTGGGCCTCTCTGAAAAGTAGTAGCAGGCAAGCAATAACCAAGACCCTTGGGACCAAGATATGCCAAAAGGCTTCTTCCATCTAGAGTGGATAATGGAGCTCTCGGATGTCGGATTTTCTAAAATAACTCCAACACAAAAGGTGATCTCATTTCCTAAGACATTAAACTCCTGTAGGATTGAGCCCTACCATACTGTCAACATGTAAGGTCGCAAAGGACGGACGTGTCTCAAATATGCTCTCAGAAAATGCCAACCAGGTATAAGACTGCAGGGCCATCCATGGTGACAGGAACAAAAAGAGATACGATTTTCCATGCCTAGAAGGTCCATTTGCCAGTATTACGGAAGAGGTGAGGGTTTTTTTTTTTATTTTTAAAGATTTTATTTATTTATTTTAGAGAGAGGGAGCACACACAGACGCAGGCGGGGTGAGAAGCAGCGGGAGAAGGGCAAGCAGACTCTGCACTGAGCGTGGAGCCCGATGCGGGGCTCCGTCCCACGACCCTGAGACCATGACCTCAGCCGAAATCAAGAGTCAGATGCTTAACCAACTGAGCCACCCAGGGGCCCCTGGAAGAGGTGAGTTTTTTAAAAAAATAATCAGTTGCCAGAAAGCTTTCTAGCCATAGATTTAAGAAAATCGGACAGCCTGGTGTACTGAACACATTCTCCAAGAGACGGTGGGTACTGCGAAGACGCTGGCAGACTGCCAAGCACCAAAGGAAGTTGGCTTTTGATAGCAAGGCCAGAATGTCTAATTGTATCCTAACCTCGTACAGTGCAATAGAGAGCCAAGTGAAGAGGAAGGACTCCCTGTCTTCACACTTTCTTGCTAATTGCTGATGAGGTTCGAGAGAAGCTAAGGATTTATTTAAAATAGACCATAATCTCTTTATAATCCTTGTCCTTATGCAACCACCTCATTTGTGTGTGGTTTTTTTTTTTTTTTTTTTTGGCTTGGACAGGCAATTTAAACCGATTTGCTGAACTAGTTCCTATCAAGTGATAACCAGTATTAGCATCCTATCTACATCCCCTGGTTCTTTAATCCATTAATGTTTTCTAAGTACTCTAAAGCCAAAGCAGTCTTATATAAATTCATGATACGACACAAAGGCACTCTAAAATTTGTGAATGTGGAATATGCCCAAAGGAAAACAAACCGGTCCCTCAGGATTTAGCAGTATGTCTTGCTGAAGTTGACAGTAAGTTTCTATTTTACTCTCATTAGAGAAACAGCAAGTGTCTATACACCTCAGGAAAGGGACAACGCTGAAGTCAGAGGTTTAACTATGCGAACAAGTTAGGATAAGCTAATTACGGACTTTTCAGTAGTGAGCATGTTTCTATCAGGAGTGAAATGATTAAGATGCAAACACGCAATACTGGGCCTGGAGCTTCGTGATGCCGGTTAGAAAAAGTCCCCATTCCAGTGTCTCAGCAAGCCCGACTCTGCCCCCTGGTGCTAAGGCAGTGGTGTGATTTGTAGTTTTAACAGGATTGTTATCTCTAGTCAGAGGGCCAAAGTATTATTATTAAAACTGGTAATGCCCGTGGGCGGGCTGATTCTCCGATTGTAGTGACAGAATCCACCTAATAATTTGTAAGTCTCTGAAAATGAAAACATATCTTTAGACTAAATGTCCATGCTGTCAAACAGCTCTACTGCGTGACTTGTTACTTGGACACCCACAACCACGCAGCAAAGACAGTGTTCCCCAGCGCCCACTGACAGCAGACCGCCTGAGTGTGCCAAGTGGGGGGCCAGCAGCTAGAAACCGAAGAGCAGGTGCCGAAGGTCAGGACCCAGCGCCCTGCCCAGTGAGATGGCCTCAGGACCCCTCCCCACCATCTCTTCTTGGCAACAGTTAAAAATACAAGCAACTCCGAAGCTGAATTAACTGGACAAATGGCAACATATGATGGCCTGTGTATGAGATAATAGCATTGTGTCAATATTACATTTCCTGGCCTGGATAACTGCACTGTGGTTATGTAAGAGAATGCCCTTGTTCCTAGGAAATCCATGCTGAAGTGTGTGGGAAGAAAGCTCGCAGTGTCCTGAACTTGCTCTCAAATGGTCCAACAGAACAAAAGAAACAATTATACGTATATGTAATTACATATGCATATGTATGTGTATATATGCATGTAGCATGTTGGGGGGAGCAAATGCGGCAAAATGTTCTCTGGTAAATCTAGGTGACAAATGGGGATTTATCATACTATTCTTAGGTCTTTTCTGTTGGTTGGGATTATTTTTTTAATAACTGAAATACACAACGGCAAAACAAGTTTTTAGGAAACCCTTATACTTCCTGGTGACTGTTCCGTGATGATTACCTTGAAGCACCTTTTTTAAAACAGCAAATAAAAAAGTTAAGAACTACTTTTTCAGTGTTCGCATTCTGCGGCTGTTGCCTAGCCATGTACTCCGTCTGTCTGTGGGGTCATCGAGGACGGGATGTGCCCCGGTGCCCTGCTGAACCAGCAGCAGATGGGACCAAACGGCCGTGGTGGCAAGTGTGAACCAGTGGCTGAGGGGGACCAAAAGGCCACTGGAGGCACCGACTCCTCCCAACACTAGAAACACTTTTGCCTCCTCATCAGTCTGGCTGAACCCAGGGAGCTCCATAATGCCGGATAGAAAGTAAGACTTGAGTCTTTCCCCGTGCTGCACCGGACTCTCCAGTGAAAGAAATAAAAAGCATATTCTAGCCCCTGGCATGGGACAGGGAGAATGCCCTTCCAAGGTAAGAAGTATTTCCGGGTCAAGCGATTTCTCACAACCCTGTTCCGACTCCGTACAGCAGACTTCCAGCGAGGGGTGGGGCAGAAAGTGCAGCAGTAAGAGAAGGCGACCACGTGGGATGGGGACTGAGGTCTCCTCACAGCAATCCCGCAATCCTGCGCAGTCCTTCCCTTCACTAGTAAACGCTCTGTGCTGTCTTAAAGGCACGTGAAACAGGGCGTCGATAGCAGACAAGGTCGGGGAGTTAGGCTCTCGTGTCCACCCAGCCATTAATGTGCTCAGTGACTCTGGACAAGTCACCTAAGTGAGGGGACTGAAGGAGCATGGGTTTTCTGGCAAAACTCTTAAGACTTTATGCTTCTGTGCATCTAAAGTTAAAAATGAACAGGATCCCCGAAAATGATCCTATTCTGTCTCATCTCACAGGCTGGTATAAAATACAGGGTTTTTTTAAAAGGCCATGTTCAGGATCACAGTCTAGTTCTAGGACACAAAGCCAGACTAGGCTCTGAGCTACAGCAGCTGTCCTCGCCCCGAAACGTGGGCTCATCCAACAAACCACGCGGTACCAGCAGGATGAAAGCTAAAAAGCATCATCTGGGATTCCCTCCAGGAGCACAGCAGAATCGTCCCCACATTTCCGGTTTGGGCTCGCTGACCACCAATGCCAACGCCGTCTCCCCAGGGCTCATCTCGGGACTGAAGTGTCACATGGAGAACCGACCTTGTCATCCCTGTAACTTAGGAAAGTCTGGCTGAGTTAGTGGAAGAGCTGAAGATCACACTGAATGTCAACGTGAAATCCAGTAAGGCAGTCTTGTCAGAGCGGCTTGCCTGCTTTTAAGGTATGGGAGATCTCCTTGAGTTTATTTTATCTGAGCAGCCTTCCCCTTCTCGCCTGCTGCCTCAAGGCTCATTCTGGCAGAGACACTGTAACAGAGCTATCCCCACACTCCCTGTGCCTGGGCTGGCCGGCATTAGTCAGGCTGGCCCCGCTGAAGGGCCAGCACCGGCCCGACACGGGAACGTGGGCTCCTCCCTGGCCAGCCACTGGCCCTTCTTAAGGACTGGATGTCTGGCCTACCTTGCCCTGCACTTCCAAGAACTGTGGCCTTCTCCTCGGTCTGCCCAGAGTCCTGGGGAATACAAATGTATGAAGGATGGTCGGCAGAGGAAGACCCAAGAGAGGCTGAGAAGGAGTGGCTGAAAGGCAGGAGCAAAAGAGCAAAGGCAAGATGACTGGCAGTGGGGGTGGTCACAGAAGCTCAGGGAAGATAGTGTTTCAAGAAGAGAGAGTCTGGCCGGGGGCTGTGCCTCTCACTCACAGATGACTCACTTCCTGTGTTACAATGGGAATGGAAGTCATCACCTGGAAGTGCCTACAACTTCCCAACATCGAACCTATTATTTAGTTGCCCTTCCTCCTGAGCCGGTGGAAGAGGTGTCCTGCCTTTGGTCCAAGGCTTTCCTGCATCTGATCTCAAGATCCCCTACCACCTGTCACTCTATGGATTATCTTCATCTTTCTTTTGTCCAGAGACTTCTTGGCTGTCCCATCTCTCCCTAAAACAGAACTCTCCCTAGACCCTCTGACCTGTTGCAAATATACTCTGCCACTCTCCTCTCCATACAAATACCTTTAAGGAGCCAACTCCGTGGAGCAGCCTGTTCTCTGTCCACCACCAAACTACTGAAAGCATTCTTAACAAGGTTAACTCTGACCTTCACCTTCTTTTTTATAAATCTGATTATTTTCACTTATCTGTCTCCAAGAAGCCCAACCCTGCTGACCATACCCCTTTTCTTTCTTTTTTTTTTTTTTAAGATTTTTATTTATTTATTTGAGAGAGAGAGAATGAAGAGAAAGAGAGCACGAGGGGAAGAGGGTGAGAGGGAGAAGCAGACTCCCCACCGAGCAGGGAGCTGGATGCGGGACTCGATCCTGGGACTCCAGGATCATGACCTGAGCCGAATGCAGTCGCTTAACCACCTGAGCCACCCAGGAGCCCACCATACCCCTTTTCATCAGGAGTTGTTTTCATGGGACTTGAGACTGCAGCCTCTTCTGGTTTTGACCCTCTTGCTCTGGCCGCTTCTTCTCCGTCTCCTTTGACGGCTCCCTTTCTTCTGACCGCTTGCTCTTCCAATACAGTGTTCACCAGTGTCCTGTCTTAGGCCAGCTTGTCTCTTGCAGTTTCCCAGTGCTGCCTGGGAGCCCTTTCCTCCCATCCTGTGCTGATCCAGCGCCCTATCCCTAGCTCTAGCTCAGGCCCAGCACCTCAGCTCCAGACTAGCACATCCCGCTGCCTGTAAGCAATCTCCACGAGCACATCCAGATACCTAAAACACAATACATCCAAAATTGAACTAGCTCATCCTCCTCACTCCCAAAACCAATTCCTTCTTGTGTTTCTTAGTAAATGACCAGCACCACCATCTCTTCTGCTGCCAGAGCCCGGAAATTGTCATTCTCCTTGAATGAATGAAGAAAATGAATGAAGAAAACGGACAGTAGAAAGGAGTAAGATGTAGGGCTCGGTGAGTAAAGACCGTGGGCAAAGAGAAACAATCAGTGACTGCACAAAACCTTGCCGGTACTAGGTGACTGGGGAGGAATAAACATTAAGGCGGCGTGTGTGGTACAAGGACCAAGGCAGTCTCCTCAGGTCTTAGTATATTTTCTGGGAGGATAAAGATACTGACTAACTTTAAACAGTAATCACGAAAGAATAAAAATAAGAGTGTAAAACTTTCAAAAGAAGAGAGGAGAAAAAGAAAGAAAGCTTGAAGTTGCAGAAAAGGAGAAAAAAAAGGAGTTACAGAAATAGAATAAATAGAAAACACAAAGTAAGAGGCAAATAAATGTATCAGTAAACATACATGAAAATGAGCCCAATCCAACAATTAAATTATCAGATTGGGTTAAAAAACTCAGCGTAGGCTGGTTATGAGATTTAAAGACAGATGCCAAGGGGCACCTGGGTGGCTCAGTCGGTTAAGCATCTGACTCTTGATTTCGACTCAGGTCATGATCTCAGGGTTGTGAGATCGAGCCCTGAGTCGGGCCCCCACTCTGTGGGGAGTCTGCTTGTCTCCTCTCCCTCTGTCCCTCCCCCAACTCTCTCTCTCTCTCAAATAAATAAATCTTTAAATAAATGAATAAAAGACAGGCGCCAAATATAAGAGGATAGATATAGCAGGAAAATACTAAACAAAACAATGCTGGGAACTCTAATGCTGATAAAATAGAGCTAGGGAGGAAGAGAAGGGGTAAAGAGGACCCTTCATACAATGATAATTGGGAAAAAAAAAATCTCCAGAATATTCTCTATCGTGTGTACCTAATAATATGGCCTAAAGATACCTAAGTAACAGAATTAAGAAGCTTGGTCTGGAATCGACACACACAGAACTCTATACCCAACGATGACATATACTCACTTTAAGCACAGAAGGAACATTTCCCTAATTGACCTATACTAAGCCACAAAGGAAATCTTGACCAATATCAAAGAATCAAAATCATATAGTCTTCATTCTTTAACCACAAATGCAAATAAGGTAGAAATCAGCAACAAAAGAACAACCATAAAGACCACTGTGGCCACTGCGTAGAGAATGAGTAATGGGACCTGGCGGAAGCAGGGAGACGAGCTCAGAGTCCAAGCAGCGGGTGAGGGAAGTGGGCTGGATGACGGTGGGGCCAGTGATGGACAGAATGCTCTTACCATCTTGTGTAGTTACGTACACCCAGCACCTAGCGCAGTACCAGGTACACAGCCATTGCTAAAATCCGGGTTATAAAACATGCAAAAGAAGCTAAATAAATACTAGTTCAAGTGCTGAAGTGAACCGCAGCTCCAACCTCCCAACAGACAGGCCAGGTTTCCATGGCTCAAACACCAATACCTCACCTGCCAGGACCCCAGTCTACTGCCAGGTCAGCCAGCCCTGCTTAAATCTCTTTGTCTCACACCCCCGTCCTACGGCTTCTTATTTTTTAAACAGTTTTATGGGATGCCTAATATAAAACTATGTTGTTTCCACACCTGTTATCTCACTTAATACATCCTAAAACCTATAAATTGAGTCCTGCAAACGCCACTGCTATAGATGAAGAAACAGGCTGGGCTCTAGGAGATTAAGTAACTCACCTTAAGATACTTATCTAGTAGGGATTTAGACCCTCACCTGCCCTGCTCCCCCTTCACAGCCCCTCAGAGACAGTATGGGGCCATGGTGTAGTGACAGCGTGCACTGGTCCAAATCCCAGATCTGACTCACTGGCTATGGGTCCTTGTATAAGTCATTTAACTGTTCCATACCTCAGTCTGTCTACACATAAAATGGGGGTGATGATCACACAGCAGCTACAACAAATGGTTATAAAAACTACATGGGTTAATATATTAAGTGCTCGGGATACATGGCACAAGTCCACACTTTCATCATCTGATCTAGATGAGCACGTCTCAACCTCGGCACCATGCATCTCCTGGGCCGGATAATTCTTTGTCATAGGGGGCTGTCCTGTGCACTGCGGGTTTAGAGGCATCCCCGGCCTCTATCTACTAGATGCCAGTAGCACCCTCACACCACCCCACTCCACCCCCAGTTGTGACAAGCAAAAATGTCTCCAGATAGAACCAAATGTCCCCTGGGGGACAAAAATCATCCCCATTGGAGAGACACTGCTCTAGTCTTCATAATGGAAACTTTTCCAGCAGGATCCAAAGCAGAGCCCCCGTCCCAAGTTCAATTCTAGATGCCCTAATAAGACAGCCTGGGGCACGGATCCAGTCAGGATGATGGAACCAGATTGTGCAGGGCTTCACACCATCCTCTGTTTACCCCGACTCGTGGCGCACGGACATAGGCTGGAAGGCAGAATGCACAGAGGCCATTTTAATCCTGGATGATGAAAGAAGCTACCAGGAAATGTGAGTGTGTACTTAAAACCCTCTGCCTCCAGAAACCAAATGTTGTAGCATTTGTAACGGGCAGAGCATTTACACAGAGCTTTTGCCTTCGAATCGTCAAGCTTTCAGCCTCTGCTAATATTCTCCAGGGGGCAGGGTTGGCCCTCTTCCATCTTCAAGATGATTCAGGTTTCCTGGAGAACAAAATGAGCCTCTGATGCCTAATGTTTTCTCTCTGACAGATGGTTTCAGACGTATCAAAGTGCTAATCCTTGCTGAGGTATAGGTCTCAAGGAAGGAGAGTTTGGCTTTTAGAATGACAGAACTTGAATGATTAAGGAGGAAAATTACTCCCAGGATATTCACCATTGTCATGTGAGCAACCCGCTTAAAATGAAGGAAGACGGCAGAATCTGAAAAAAGATGAGGAAAAACTCAAAAACCCAGGTTAACAGTTTAGGTTTGAAACATTTCCACCCAAAGCTGTCCCAGGGAGTGGAAATGAAGTGCAATAAAAACACCTTCAGGCTCAGGATGATTAGGGCTCCATCTGCCTCCCTCCAGTATCACCATTCCCAGCTTCCATGTGTGGGAGAAGCCCTGCAGACACAGGCCAGGGTTGGAATATTTGCCTTGCAACTTACTAGCTGTGTGACCTTGGGCCTGTTACAGTCTGAGCCTCAGTTTTCCCGCCGGTGAAATGCGCACTTAATACCTACCTCAAAGGGAGATCCAATGTATGCCTGACACAGTAAGCCTTCCGCGAATGCTACCTGTGAGCATGACCTAGTATTTAGTGTCAACCTACTATGTGCCAACTGCTTTCGTTACCACCTGTGAGTCTCAATGAAGACTAAACCGTCTTATTTTACCGATTACAAATAGCTATTGATGTATGAGGATGCTGAGTACGAGAGACTGAGTCACACTTGTCCACGGTCACAAAGCCGCACACATCAGGATTCGAACCCGGGCCTGCCTGACTCCCAAGCCAAGCTCTTTCCACGGCCCCACGAGCAGGTGCAGGGCGGAGGGGAGGGGGGTGTTACTGAGACCAGGCCACCGCGCGGGGTCACAGGTCACTCACGGTACTCGTCCAGCCGCATTAGGGGCCGGAAGTAGATAGGGTAGAAGGCGGCGCCGATCAGGGAGATGAAGCCGCCGAAGATGAGCACGGTGCGCAGGTTCCGGGACATGGCGCCGGGCACCGGGCTGCCCTGACCCACTGCGAGGCCCGCACGCCGCGAGGCCCAGTTCGCGCCGCCGGGCCGTGACCCCGCTCGGAAGAGGCGGAGCGGCTTTCGCTTCCGGGCCTTGGAGGCGGGGCTAGGCGGCGGGGCGGGGCGAGATAGGGCCGGGCGGGGGTCAGGGACGGAGCTAGGGGTGGGTGGAGCCGGGCCGGGCGGGGCCTCCGTGTCGCGCGGTGCTTCCCCAGCGCTCCCTCCCTGGGGGTTGCGCCTGCCCCGCGCCGGCGGCGCGGTAAAAGGAGCTGGTGCGTCGCTGGGTTCTGCCGGCCCCGCTTCTGGCTCCTGCCCTGCCGGCAGCCCGGCTCCCCCTCGGTGCACCATTCTCCTGACCTCTTTTATCACCCCCCTCCTTTATCAGCCACGCTTTCTCATTCTCCCCACCCCTTATTTGATTTTAGTGACTTTCTACCTCGAGCTGCGTGCCCTCTGTGACTCGCTGATTTAATCCTCATAATGTTTTACAGGTCAGGGAACCCCGGCTTGGCCGCGCGGCTTTGGACAAGTCATTATGGGACCATCTGCCATGCCCCAAACACCAGGCAAAGTGCGACGAGGGACACCAAGATGAATACGACGTGACCCTTGCTCTCTGGGATCCTGCCACGTGGATGAAGAGACAGGACATCTACAAAAAAAGATAACTAATGACCCAGCGCAGCCTGTTGCCAATGAGTGATAGGGTCCTGCGGGCTGCAGAAGTTTGGTGGAGAAAGACAGATGGCTGTAGGGTGAGGCAGGGCTCCTCCGAGGCTTGCAGGAGCTTGTTGGGGTGAGAACAGAGGACTTCCCAGCAGAGAGGGGAGCTGTGAAGCATGCTTTCTGTCACGTGTTATAAAACCCCAGGTGTGGTGCCTGTCTGTCATTTTAGCAACTCAGTGTCCACTTATCTTTCTGTTAATAGCCCCAGAATATCCTTTGGCAAACCACTCCTCTCCCATTCTCAATCCATGAGATAAACTGGGCTTCTCCTCTGTGCGCCCCCCCCAAGTGATTTTTTTTTTTTTCCAGCTCTGAGAGTTAAGCATATAACCAAGACTGATCAAGCTCCCACACCACAGGTATTGACTGGGACGGATCATCCAGCGTAGCTGCATCCTCCTGGCTACATGACCCACGTTGAGCCAATCATAGTCTCTCCCAGCTGCTGGAAATCTGGGTGTGAACTTGAGGGGATTAGATGCTGGAGCCACTGGGCACCACCATTTAGAGACTAAGAATGAGGACAGTACAGCAGAAGGAAGCTAAGAAGTGGAGAGAAGTCAGTTGCTGACATTACATTTGAGCTCCTGGGGCCAGCTGTTCCTGGAAAGGATCTGCCCTTGGACTTCTCAGCTCCTCTTCACTGAAGCCTGTTTGAGTTGTTTTTTCTGTTTGTTTGTTTGTTTTTACAGCAGGAGTTCCAGATGAAGTCACCACGAGTGTGATTTCATTTGCTTAACAATTCCACGAACTGCAAGTCAAGGATCACCCTATTTTATAGACCAGGTCACTGAGATCCAGTGACCTTTCCTAGGGTCACACACCATTAGCTGAGCCAGGACCAGGCTTTAGTTTTCATGACTCCTAATCTCACAGGCTCCTCCCTGAGACCTCGCTGTCTCCATGAGCAAACTCGCCAGGATGGCTGGATGTGCCGTACCCACAGAGCCCCTGAAAGCCAGGATGTCCTGATGAGCTACCAGTCGTGCCTCCAAGGCAGAGATGGACTAATGTGGGGCAGATGAGCCACCCCCTCTCCAAGTGGCAAGTAACCTGGTGGTTTCTCTGTTCCCTCATGTGAATCTAACGGGTTTAGTCTGACCAGTGGGCAGGCCACAATCTATACAGATACAATAATCACCTTATTTGCATCATCACACCCAAAATTAGCTACTTATCACTTGCTTGCCATTGAGTCCCACCAAATATGGGTTCATCTCTTTGATCCCAATGTTCTCCCCATTTCTGAGGATCCCACTGACTCACAGATTCAATCAGAAAATACTTGTGTGCCGACTCCAGCAAAGCAATGTACTACTTGATTGGGAACACAAAAAGGAAGCATCAGTATTTGTGTATTTGACAAAGGCTTACTGAGCCAAGCACCATGTGCCAGGCACATTTCAAATGCTGGTGAATGCAGCCAGCAGTGAATTAACAAGAGAGTCTGTTGTCCTCATGGCATCTCTAGTGTGGTAGAGGGATAAGATGCGACAGTGGATAGTAATTGCTTTTTGGTCCCTCTACCTTCCCTAATAATAGCTCCTGATTCTCCATTTGCATAGGGAGGAGCTGGGGGCTTAGCAAGAATGACTAGCTCAATAGCTACTAAATGGCAGAGTCGGGATTCGAATCCTGTCTGGCTGGCTCCAGAGACCTGCAATTATCACCAGTCTACACTGCCTTGCAAAGTCAGTGAGTTCATATTGTCTGAGTGTGGGTCCAATTCCAACCGGGTCCAGTTGTTCCTTTTCTCCCAGAAATAAGAATTGTGAGCATGGTGACATGGGGACAGACAGATAGCACTGTTGCCATGGATTTCTTCCATGGCATGTCCCCATGAGATGATTGCTTATCTTCCACTTGCCTGTAAGCCTGGAGAGTCTCTTATTCCCCCTTGCAGTCAGATTCTCAGTGGTTCATTATATTCTGCAGGCCACCCATATACTTCCAGTAAACTCCCTTTGGATTTTAGTTCGGCGGAGCCTATTTCGGTTGCATACCAACAGAAGACCTAATAGATGCAGCAAGTCCACAATTACCTCCAACACATGACATAGACAAGGGGCTTGGGGCTTCATAGCTGGGCTAATGTTTGCAAAAGCCAAAGGAAATTTGGATCTGGGGGAAGGTCTTTGTGCAAAGGAGGAGAGAGCTCAAGGGATAGAAGGAGACAGGATGCAAGTCAAATATGTAAGGAGGCCTAGGGTGCACATTTTCATCTCAATCACTGAGGAGAAAACAAAATTGGTTTGGGCTCCTATCTGGCACTTTCTCCTTCTTCCCTTGGATGTGAAGATTAAATGCTTGCAGGGAGCAGACCACCAGTGGTGTCTCACATGGGGTTCAGACAGACATCAAAGTTAATCCGCTCTCTGATCTAAGCAAAATGGTGATGAGGGTTTCCTGGGGCAGCAGCTCCACTAATTGTGGCACTGCAGCCCAGCTGATGAATTTTTAGAATATTGTGGATTTTCATAAAGTACATTGCTTTCTGCAGGAAAACAGACTAGAAGCTTGGGGTTTGGAATAGAGTGGGATCTAACTCAGGGTCCTCTGGACCTGAACTTTTAAGAATCAGAAAATAAGTATAGGAAAAACTTCCCTGTGTTTATCAGGTGCTGTGACTCTCTGAGTGTCTACTCATCTGTATAAATATTTCCGATTTCGATCATTTGTCAAGCTTTTCTTCTTTGATCTGTTCTTTACATCCAAGAGTGTTCCCCAAGTATCTGTCTTGGCTTACCTCTTGCCACACCATGCATCCTATTGTTTAAACTAACATCTTTATGACTTTGTAGGGGCCAAGGGCAGGCAGCCCCAAGGTGGGCCACTTTGGCATGAACATTATTTTGAGTTAAAAGCAATCAGGGGCGCCTGACTGCCTCAGTCCGTGATGCGTGTGACTCTTGATCTCACGGTTGTGTGTTCGAGCCCCATGTTGGGTGTAGAGATTGCTTAAAAATTAAATATTAAGGGCGCCTGGGTGGCTCAGTGAAGTGACGGCCTTAGGCTCAGGTCATGATCCTGGAGTCCTGGGATCGAGTCCCGCATCAGACTCCCTGCTAGGTGGGGGGTCTGCTTCTCCCTCTGACCCTGCCCCCTCTCGTGCACTCTCTTTCACTCTCTCTCAAATAAATAAATAAAATCTTTTAAAAAATTGAAATATTAAGAAAGTTTTTTAAAAAAGCAATCCAAACCAAGCAGATTCAGGAAAAGTTTTTTACCTCCCCCTCAATTGCCTGCCTATACCAGGAAGAACACTATTCGTCAAGATTCCTCTTTACCTAAGAAACTGCTTTGCATAACAGGGCACCTTTGTTCTCCAAAGATCTCCTGCTAATGGTCTTTGTTCCCTCTGTGTCATCGGATCCCTGCCCCTCTCCTTAGCTCATGTGTTACTTCCCCTCACTGTCTTTGGGATTTCCCTGTGTGGATTCCCTGTAACTACCCTATTAAATTGAGTTTCTCTTGCTAATCTGTCTCATGTCAATTTGATTCCTAGTCCTGCTCAAAGGACCGTGAAGGGGAGAGTAAATTCTTCCTTCCCAACAACTTCAGCAGCTACGTGTCTAGACCAGCCTTTCTATTGAACTCCAGCCCCCCATGCCTGGGGAAAATCCTCAGGTTCAAGACCCACTTGCTTCTGCCCTCTCCCCTTGACTCTCCCTGCGGCTAGTTGGGTTAGAGGCATTATCAGCTCTCCATAGCCATGGCTTCCTAACTTGTCTTGCGGTGCCATCCCCTTCCATCACTAAACGGTCTCATTCATGCAGTACCCAAAGATTCATGGAGGACCCAAAGTACCTCTGGAAACAAACATCTGGTTCATCGGTGCTCTTCTCAGAAGACTTCAGTGTCTCCCTAAAGTATGAATTACTCAGCCTGGAACTCAGGGTTTGTTTTTTTTTTTAATTATTATTTTTTAAATTTAAATTAAATTAATTAACATAGTGTATTTATTAGTTTCAGAGGTAGAGTCCAGTGATTCATCAGTTACATATAACACCCAGTGCTCATTACATCCGGTGCCCTCCTTAATGCCCATCACCCAGTTACCCCATCCCTCCACCTCCCTCCCCTCCAGCAACCCTCAGTTTGTTTCCTACAGTTAAGAGTCTCTTATGGTTTTCCTCCCTCTCTGATTTCATCTTGTTTTATTTTTCCCTCCCCTCCCCTATGCTCCTCTGTTTTGTTTCTTAAATTTCACATATGAGTGAGATCATACGGTAATTGTCTTTCTCTGGTTAACTTATTTTGCTTAGCGTAATACTTTCTAGTTCCATCCATGTCATTGCAAATGGCAAGATTTCATTCTTTTGATGGCTGAGAAAT